CAAAATCAAGGAGATGAGGGTGTCCTATTTTTATTTTATTATTTACATCTTGTTGAGAACATAACATTTGGATATTAAATTTTTGGATTGGATATAGAAAGTTTTTAGTACCCGTGAATAAGATAGAACCACCCAAAGGGCAAATTCCAGCCATTTGAGTGAAAATGACTGTTACCCAACAACAACAAAAAGAAGACAAAACAATAAAGTTAGACCCGTTTGGAACTGGAGAGAAGCTAACAGTTTTATTAAGACGTATTTAAGAGATGCAGGTGTGTGTCTTGAGAATCTGAAAGAATGGAGAAAAATGGGAAACAAACCAGTAATTATTGATTTACGCAAGGCTTGTCTCCAGTTTAAAACTGAGTTACTTTAACTGTCTCCAGTTTAAAACTTTTTGACCATTCCAAACAGTGGTTTGTTGAAATAAAAAGTATTGTTTGACACGACTTGCTTTTGGATTGAATGTTGCTCCAGTGATAATGAAATCTGTCGTGAGCCACTATTGATCAGGACGAATTGGTGAAGAGGGGAGCATCCGTTTACGTGGACGACATTTTTGTCAGTGAGGAAGCAGTGAGTCTTAATTATGTCAGAAGGTATTTCATAAAATATGGTTTGCAGAGTAAGGACGAAATAATTTCGTAAATTGGGATTACGCGTGTACAAGGTTGGCGTCAAGTTGATGTGGCCCAGAGGGGGCATCAAGTTGATTCTGAAAAAATTAAACAGAAGAATAATGTTTTCCGCTTGTGAGCAGTTAGTGGGTCACTTTCAAGTCTGTGGTTAGTTATGTACAGTTTGCAGCCTTGTGAAAAGAAAAGTGGTTAGTTGACGAAGGGATGGGACAATAAAGTTTGCGATGAAAATTTAAAGTGTGCACTTCAAGAAGTTTATGATGAGGTGGAGAGTGCAATCCAGCAAAAAATCTGATTCTTCAAAATATAGATTAGCTGACGCATTGACAAGAGATTGAGGCAGATGGTTGAATAAATTGACAGAGGCAAAATTATTCAACCATCTGCCTCGGTAGTGAAGTTATTAAAATAATTTCACTACCGCTATCAAAAATGACATTCAAGATTTAATTAAAAATTGCGAACATTGTCATTCAATAGATCCAGCTCCTGTACAATGAGCGAAGTGAAATTTGAGCGCTAAAGAAAATTGAGAAAGTGTGGCTAAGAATATCACGCATTTTGGCACAGAAAAATGTTTTATTCTAATTGATTGCGGACCTTCAAGATAGGCACTGTGGCAACATCATTCAAGTTTATACGGAAGTATTGCTATCATTCAAATACTTCGCCTTATCTTTTGTGAGCGAGGAGCGCCATCAGAAATTTTAACAGATAACAAAGCAACTTTTAAAACTGAAAAATTAAGAATTCTTCTTGATGATTGAGGAGTGCGCATAAGTTTTGAGCTGCTTATAATCCCGAAGCAAATGGAATTTTGGAGAGAAACCATCGTACGTTTAAGAGAATTGCAGAAAAATCGAAAATGCCAATACCGGAAGCTGTATATTGGTCGAATGTCTTAGCCGACGAAAACAAATCAAGCCCAATGGAGAAAATATATAGATATTGAATTGATGTTAAAGGATTGTGAAAAAATAATCCGGCAAGAGCTGACATAAAAAAAATGTTTAAAAATAGTGATAACTTATGGTTGATACCACCAAATGCAAATATACTAAGTGGCATCCAGCAAAACTAACTGAAAATATTTCCAAACAAGTTGCAGAAGTTAATGGCGTCACGTAAAACATATCCAACATCGAAATGACACTCGAACGTGCAATAATCCGAAGGTAAAATTAAAAGAAGAACTTATTTTAAAGTTAGATAAATTTATGGACCTTTATGGATTTCAAATTTTACAGGTAAAGTTAAAAGGTTATATTGTCAAAAAAATAAGAGAGGTGAAAAGCCTGACGTGCAGATGGGACATGCTGATAAAGTTGAGCCAATAAAATATATAAAAAATCCAAAGAAAAATATCAGTGACGAAGAAGCTTACCAAAAAAAAATTAAAAAACTACAGGATGAGCAATTGTTTTTCAAGGTAAATATAAGTTTGAAGTAATAAACATGCTACAAGTTGTCTTCAAGATTTAATCAAAACATGATTTCTCACCCCTGAATCCTCTTACCTTGCTTAAAAAGATTCAAAAAGAGCAATCATAAATGATTCAAACGCACAAATACATTTTATTATTAAATTTTATTATCATATACATTTTATCATCAAAGAGCAACACATTACCGTTACTTTAGAACCTGGCAGTCGATATTTCGGTCATTTTGGTGCGGCCGTGGCTCAGTGGACATATTTCAACTTTTGGACATATTTCGCGTCACGGTAAGGAAGGTGGCGTGAACTTCCTGGTTAAATGCACTTCCGCGTGCTCTGTGAGAAGACAGTTAGGACTTCTTGGGGTATTTAATAATAAAAAAAACAACCCCGGATGCACCTACTGGTCCAAATAAGTCACCTAAAAAGATTGGTAAAGGTTGTTAAACATATAATCGTACTGAATAATGTTTAGTACTTGGAGCAGCACTTCAATTAACACCGGCTGGAAGGTAGTGCTATAGCGCATCTTAAAAAGCTGTTAGGTCACAAGTGCCAACGTGCCATATGCATGATTCATTGAAATGAGTTATTTTTACGCCCCATAATAGAAGGAATTAATGGATCAACATCATGCAGTACAGGATTTGTAGGTCCTGTTGGAAAATTTCTTTTTGGTGTTATAAAATAGAGTATAATCCTCAATTCAAGGCTCTTCTAGACGGAGAAAACTTTGTTGACATTCCAGAATGTATACTAAAAAACATATCAACAGACAAAAAACAATCCTACTAGCTATGTAGAGATATTCTTAGTACTTACTGATAATATATTTGTTTTTTAATGTATTAATTATTAAATCTTACACATTAAATGTATATATGTTTGCTAGTTGTTGCAAAATATCTTTGTAATTGTAAATATAATTTGCTTTTTTATTATATCTTTAGTTTGTTTTATATTTTTTTTATTACTTTTATATTTTTAATGAATTTTAAACTCTTTTTGTCAATATTTTGCATTTTATATTATTTTTATTTTTTAACTTAATTAGTTACATAATAAAGATTTCGTAACAATGTGTATATATAACTTAAATAAAAAAAATAATAATCAGGGCCGGCGCGAAGAGATGTCACGTTGGATGAGGGGGCGGGGGCGGGTGGCGGTGGTGGTGCCATTACAACTTTTGCCGACTAAAAAAAAAAAAGTACTCGTTTTTGAAAATTTGCCGACTGCAATGACGACATTTACCGACTAACTGTCTAAATATACCGACTAATCTATTGACAGGTTGACAGGGTCTACATTTGCCGACTAACTAGTCAAAAAGAGGCAAATTTGCCGACTAAGGGTCACACCCCCCTATCCCGCCGGCCTTGATAATAATAATAGTAATAATAATAATAATAATAATAATAATAAAAACTATTAAAATAAGGCGGAAAACCTCATTAAAAAATATTGAGATGATTTTGCATTATCTATATCTTCTTTAAGTTCCCATCTGTTTTTAAAATGTTTTATTTATCTTTCTCAATTGAGAATTCTTAAAAATCACACTGATAGGGTAAAAGAAATTGTGATTTTCTAAATCCAGTTAGAAACTTGGTATGCAAACCATAAAAGTATTTCAATTTCTTTGTTATCTAGTAATAATGCAGAAGACCGCTACTTTGCAGTTGACCATATTTTTAAACAAAGGGATAATGATATCCTTGGAGATATGCAAATTCAACTTAGAAAAACACTTAAGCTAAGCTTTGCAGCAAGAGCCCTTCAAGAGCTAATTAAATAAAAAAACAAAAAAGTACAAGAATCTGTTTTACTTGTTTGCTTACTAAAGATAAGTTGTTACTTCTAAGAGTGACATCTTTAAAAACTCCTTCTTTCAAAATTCGTACCCAAAGTATTGAGCGTGTTGTAAAACATGTGAGTGTAGGATCTAAGTTGGTAATTAGAACAGATGCAAGAGATGGGTATATTAGAGCTAGAGCTAAATATAGAGAGTTGTTAC